AAAGTACATTTTACCTATTTTCTAACCAACACCTATTTATGCAATCTCTGCGTTCAAGGCAGACTCACAACATTTTAAAACCTATGAAACACTTAAACAGAGAAGGCTATGTAATTGAAAAAAATGTAAGTATATAAGGTGAGGTGAAACGGACTTTAGGTGTCTAAAGCTTCTACTTGTCCTTATGTTTAGCTAAACCCCTCCTTAAATTCCTTATTATAAATGTTTAACACCAAAAAAGTTGTTGTCAGTAAACAAAGTGTTACTGGATAATTTCGCTGATGAATGAAATATTTAGCAACATTTCCATAACAGTCTAATTTCCTCATATCCAAATAATGATCAATAATGTAAACAGCACAGTTCTAACGTGCCCAGATGTCATCACCTGTCATCACAAGAGCTGTCTGGCAGTTCCACAGCAGCAAACTGGTAAGGTACCAATATTGATAAGCGAAAGACTGGAACTGCACTGATATAGTCAGATTGGTTTACAAGGCTTCTATTTTTACAAGACTTGGCAGCTCAGGTTCTCTAATGAATTTTTAACATGTCAATCAATATGTTTATAGAAAGCAATGTCAGCTTTAGCTAATACATAAGAAAAATCACAGTTGCATGCAAAATGTACAACGTACATGTTAAAGTTCTATGCTTTACATTTGAGAAGTTTGAAAGAATTATTGCAGATGATCTGATGAGAATGCTCATCTAGAAAGGAAACAACGAAGTTGCAAAGTTAATGGGCATGATTCATCACTCTTGGAAATATTAGCTCAACTTCATGAAAGGTGATGTTTTGTGGGGCATAAGAAAAACAGGCTTTCTTTTTGGCTGTTGTGGTTTAACCCCAGCCAGCAGCTAAGCACCACGCATCCGCTCGCTCATTCCTCGCTGCTCCCCGTGGGATGGGAACGAGAACCAGAAAAAAAAAAAAAGTAAAACTCATGGGTTGAGAGAACTGTTTAATAACTAAACTAAAATAATAACTGTAACAATAATAAAATATAATAATAATAGCAATGAAAGTCATATAATAAAAATAAAAGATAAGCAAAACCCACAAAAAGACAAGCGATGCACAGTGCAGTTGCTCACACGTGCTGACTGATGCCCAAGCAGTGACTGGCCCCTCCTGGCCAAGCCCCCCAGTTTATATATTGAACCTGATATTCTATGGTATGGAATATCCCCTGGTCTACTTTGGGTCATCTCTCCTGGCCATGCTCCCTCCCAGCTTCTTGTGCACCTGCGCCATGGGAAATTGAAAAATCCTTAACTTAGGATAAACACTATTTAACAACAACTAAAACATCAGTATTTTATCAACATTATCATCACACAAAATCCAAAGCGCTCTACTGTACCAGCTGCTAGGAAGAAAATAACTCTGCCCCAGCTGAAACCAGGACACTGGAAAACAGAGTAAGACCCTGATCTCCTGCTATTAAAAGACACGTTACACCAAAACAAATTACCAAGTATTTTTTTATTTTTACCAACATACTATTGATGCCATAAATTAAGTAGTTCTTACTTTAACATGTTTCGACTGAATGTAACTGTGTTAGAATACTAGCTCCTGTTTTGTAGCCCTCCCTCTAGTAACACAGAATGACATACAATGACTGCACTGTGCAAATATGATTTTTGTTTTAATTCCCCAGTTTTCTCTGTGCCTTATATAAAAATCAGAAAACAGATTCATTTTATGAAAAATGTTCTTAAAAGTCCTTAGGACGCATTTTCAAAATGTTTTAGATGTTTTCTTTTAAAAGCACTGCCATTTGTTAAATAATGGAAACCATAAACTTCCTATAGAAAGATTATGCATGCCCTGTGAAGCTGCAGTAAGAGAAATTTTACCTTTGAAAAGAACCTGTACAATTCACACTTGTGGGCAAAATAACAATAGAAAATAGCCCTTCAACCTATATCTGAACTGCATCTGGAAAGTCAGGCAAGCAGAGCATCTGGTGAAAATCTACCAAGCTATGTAGCTAGAGGGATATTATGGTCACACAGGAGAGTGAAGTTCCTGTAATTCCTTCAACTCTCTGTGCATTCATCAGCTTGAGGATAGAAGATGCAAGTGCAGTCTATGGATTTGGGTAAATTTCCCCTTTGTTAACTGGGATATTATGGTATTTAACAGCTGCCTCTACCTTCGTTGTATCAGTGGTAATACAGGATCACATGAGACAAGATATCCAAGCTTGTATCTTGATGAGCGAAATATTAAGTACTACAATTTTCTGAATGAAATGCAAAAGTTACAGGACTAAAATATTTATCTGCTACATGTTGACATTCAAGGAATTTCAATGGTTTTAAAGCATATAATGAAGTGATAGCAGAATTTCGGAAAGCAAGCTATTCAGACTGCAAAGTCATCTCTTCTCATTAACTACAGGTGACCTAAGCTTTGCAGCGTATTTCAGTACCCTAGAGAGAACCCTGCACTCCAGTCCCATACTCTGTTACATCCCAACAGCCTGACAAATGTTTCAGAATTTGAGACTACCACAGCTGTACTATATGTTCATTTTTAAAATAACACTAATGCCTCATTTCATAAATTCTCAAACTCTTACAGCAAATACTCTCAAACCACGGTCCCTTGTGATAACCTGAAGAGCAAAGACTGCAACGACAGTTAAGCATCTGTTATGTTTTATGCAGCAATCCTCATTGCTGTTTGAAATACTAGGACTTGCAGAGCTAATTAACTAACAAGCCTACACTCCCCAAAAGATTATCTTCCACAAGGCTTTTATACTCTCTTATCCCTGAGCAACTGTACTCAAGTAGGAAGATATCTCTCAATTAAAACTTAGCTGAAGAAATCCAAAAGAGGAAGAAAAAAGATGCAGGCAGTTGAGAACAGCTGGTTGAGACAGAGGTGCTGGTGTGAGTACAGTCATCCCCGGAGAGAGAGCACACGGTGCAGAGGGAGCACAGGGGCGATGGACAGCTCCCGCTAGTGCGGAAAGAGGCAAAACTGTACAATCTCTTGGTATCAGCTAGCTTTTGTTAATACTTTTAAGTTTAACCAAGCATCCATTATATTATTCACTGGTGAGAAAACACTGGAACATAGTAACTTAGTGAAGATATCATGTAAAAGGATCGTTTCCTTTCTAATTTTTTACTACCGTATGAATTATTTAATCAAACAACAGAAAAAGAAGTTAGTAACGTGACCAATTTCATAACTCCCAGTTTCAATTCTGCCTTCAGGGCTCACACAATCACATCAATCCCTGATCACTGGAAAAAGGGTGAGGTACAGAAAACCCATGTGGTGAGACTGAACACCAAAAAAAGGCTTGTGGCCATGGAAGAACACCTTAACAACCAAAAAGAAGGAAAAAAAAAAAAAAAACAAAACAAAACAAAAAACTCATCCTACCCTCTAAGCAGTCTACTGACCTGGTGAGTTGGGGGGAGTAGCAGGATTACTTACTTGGAACAGGAGAAGCAGCATAACCCATTCAAACTCATCTAGCATCAGCTCCGGACTCTGCAAAGAGACACCTTTCTCTCCTTCTCAGAACTGAAGTAACAGGGCAGGGGGCAGCTGCATCCCCTGGGGAGCACACTGCTGTCATGAGAGGCAGAAGCTTCAAGGAGCACGTCCTCCCTGCATTTGCCAGCCTGGGTGTCTCACAAGCATCCTACCATTACCTCTCATGCTGGACCTGCAGTAGCAATGCTTCATCTAAGTCTACTGCAATCACACAGACATCCCCATCAACTTAAGGTTTTTACACTACCATTTCATATGATGTTTCATTCAGATATGAAAACTTGTTGGTTCTTGACAGTAACAGAGGACTTGTTTTGCACCTCATTTTTATAGTTTGTGAAAGACATCACTGAAGTAGCAGCAGAGGCTGGGAAATAAAACTATCACCTACCTGCTCCCGTACGTAGTAGTTAGCTGCAGTTAAATGTTTACTTTGAAGGTTTATTTAAACTTTCGTGTTCTCACAGTGCGACACTTCTCTAACTTTTACATTTATAGACTTTTCCATTCAAGCTTAACAATAAAGACACAGTGCCCAGAAGGTTTAAAACCCATGAAAAGAGTTCCCTAGTTTGTTTAATAATCAAAAATCAACAGAAAACAAATGTGAGCCTTCACACGTGCACAATTATTCTGACAATTTCTCTGAAACAAGGAAATTCCGTGTCTATAGTCACAGAAAATGCAACACTGTACCTACCTCTCCTTTACATGCTCTGAAACATAGTGCCACCAGGACTTAAAGCTTAATGTTTTAAGCATGCCACTACCATCCACAGGCTTGTGATGAAGGAGCTTAGGAAGCCAAGCACTTACACTTATCACGGGTAATAAGCTCATCAAGGATGACTCCTTCATGTAGGTTAATTCCTCCTTTCCTGAAGAAATTTACCTTCCCAAAGTCGTCGTGATTTATAAAACAGGAAAGCTGAGCTACGCTCATGCAACTGTTTTGCTAAGAAGTCACTCAGTATGCAAGGAAAACGGAGCTCCGTCTGGCCTTGACGCCCAGAAGAAGCAGCCCCGCACCTTTCCGAGGTAAGAAAATCTGCTACGCAGGTCTCATGCGCTGCTGAAGACCCTGACCTATTTAGAGGCGAGCCTTACCTTTCCTGGAAACAAACGTCGCTGCGAGAGACGCCGATAAACCCCCTCCGCCCGGGCAGGCGGCGCGCCCCGGGGAAACCCGCTACCTGCGGCTCCGCTCCGCGCCGCCAAAGTTTGCCCGGCGGCGCGGCGGGGAGCGGAGCGGGCGGGCTTGAGCCGGGGCTCCGGCTCCGGCCGCGCCCCGTGGCCGGGCCGGGCATCCCCGTGGCCGGGCCGGGCATCCCCGTGGCCGGGCCGGGCATCCCCGTGGCCGGGCCGGGCATCCCCGGCGCGCAGAGCGCTCTCCCCAACTCCTCCACGCCGTGACATTGAGCAAGGTCCCCGCCGGCACCTGCCGAGCCGCGGGGCACGGCGCGCCCCTTACCTCAGCTGCCGGCCAGAGGGAAGGCGGGAGGCAGCGCGGCGGCGCCGCCGGGAGCGGCAGCTCCGCTCCGCCCGGACCGAGGCGAGCGCGTCCCAACTCCGCCGGACCCCGGCGGCTCGCCCGCTGCCACCGGCCCGGCGCATGCGTTCGCCCGGCCCCGGCGGTGCGGAGCGGTGCGGAGCGGTGCTGACCGAGCGCTGCGGAGCCGCCGCCGCCGCCGCCTCGGCGGGCTCAGGTGGGGCGCGCACGGGCCGCGGGGGCGGAGCCCGCGCGCTCGCGCCCGGGGCGGGGAGGCCCCTCGGCACCTGCGGCCGCGTCTCTCCCGCGGCCGAGGGGACGGGCCGAGGGCCGGGCGCGGTGCCCGCCGCCGCTTGGGAGTTCGGGCGCAGCGTCGGGGCGGCTCCGCCGGCAGCTGAACCGCCCGAAGTTGTGGGCGCTGCCCCCCGGTCGGCCCGCTCCGCCGGCGGGGTGCTGCCGCGCCGCCCGCCCCGCAGCTGAGGGGCCAGCCCGAATTGGCCGGTAGCTGTTACATCAGAATTTCCGATTCCTCTGGGATTTCTCCTGCCAGAAGCACCACAGCCATCTCCCAGAAGCAGGAGCTTTAAAAAACAAACAACAAACAAACAAACAAACAAACAAAAATAACCAAACACACAACCCACCAGCTGAAACACTGTGCCTCCAGCTTTTCTTACCCCTCTTCAGTTTTGGTCGTCAGGGGTTTCTCTTTGTTTCCTAAAATTAAACAAACCACTAGTGAGACTCCCAAATCTTTGGCTTTCTCAGGCCACCTGTGTGTGATGCAAACCAAGGAGTGCTACTAGTAATTTCCAGTTTGCAAACTGTACAAAACCATATCTTAAATATAATCATTAAACCAGAAAACATAAGTTTTTAAACTGTACTTAATAGAAAATTAATAATATGACAGAAATATTAAAATCAATACAAACTTAAGTATAAGCATTTTTATAGTATCAGCTTTTCTAATTTGAATATCCCTCCTGTAGAACATGATGCAAACAGGGGACATCGTGTGGTACTTAATTTGTTGTTCCTCTGCAGAAAGGAAAACAATAACATTTAGCATGGGAGAAAACCTTCTGTATTTTAATTTCAGCTTTTGAAGAAGAGCAGTGCTACTTAACGCCATTAAGAATTGCGTCATACCTTGTTTACAGTTTTATGTTCAGTAAGTTCTTTTATAATTCAGGACAGGAAATTTTTGGAGTTTGAATTAATCATCCTGAGAAAACATGACTACAGTCCTTCTTCTGGTGCTTTATGTACCACAAACTCCTTGCTCAGAAGAAATCTGAACTCTAAAGCATCACCGGTTTTGAAAAATTTGCTGATATCTCCTACAGAGAGAAAGAGAAGCTGAAAACAGGACACATTTTTCCCAGAAATTCTGAGATTATCTGAATCTGTAGTGGTAGAATAGTTTCCACTACTGAAACTGGGGACATTGGACCAATGGTAGAAGACTTGCAAGTGTACACAACCCCTTCAGTAACTCAGCTCACCAAAAAAAAAGGCCCAGACTGGCAGGATTTGGGGTCAGTCAGACACTAAATTGGTTATCTTGAAAAGGAACATCCGTGTATGATCACACATTAGCAATATCCAACATTTTCATATTTTATTATCTTATCTATTAGCCCCTTTCAAGACAAACTTGCTGTAATCTAAAACAACTGTCTCGAAAATACGTTCAGAAATCTCAAAATATCTATCAGGACTGGAACAAAAATCAGTGATTTTCTCTTCATATCCAACTGTTAAGTCCTATTGTAAAGAACTAAGAATATTATGTTCACACAATATTATTTTTCTATGTAAGCAGCTGTTTTAGTTGCCATAGAGATGTTATTCAATCTCGGGTTGAAAGGTGGTCTACAATGACCATGCACCACATTTGCTGTTAAGATGAAAATGTTTAAGAACCCCTGTGAATACTGTAACATTCTTCAGAACAAACACATTTCTGTTCAGTAGGCTCCTGAATTACTTTTTACAAAAAAAAATGTTAGTTCAGTGAATGCTAACCATCAACCTCCTACAGAGAGATGTAATGGCGGATATATAATTGTATATGGTTTTGAACACTTTATGCGAAAATATATCTCGGACCTGTCTTTAAAAGAATTGTTCTCATCAGAAACAGCAACATTTAACACACAAATGTAAACATCTTTATAAAGTATTTCATTTAAGTCTTCCATTGTGCAACCCGCCATTCTTGACACCAGCTCCCTGTCAAATGCTGTGCTCTAGAAGATGGTATAGGTCAAAAAAATGAGAAATTTTAAATGCCCTGTGTTCTGTATTATCAAAGTGTCGGATTTCATCTCTGTCAAATGCTGAACGCACACTAGAAGTTATGAAATTACAGAATTGTTGTGCAATTAGTATTTCTTAGGAGCTGAAGAATATCAAAACAACTGCAAAGTGGTGTGAGCAACAGGAAGACCATTTAATCTAGGAGAGTTTATAAGCAGATAATCGGTCTGCAAACTCAGAGGACCCTCATGGAAAAGAGAAGCTGCTACTTGCTGCATTCCGCTAAAAAGCTGCACAAACTGGCTTATAAAAACAGATAGAAATGGGATCCCATCCTGAGTAAAGAATATGCAGAGTAGGAAAAGCCATGATGGGTGTGAATTAGAATTGCATTTTTTAATTTCAATTTATTCAGAACTTTAAATTTGGCTCTACCAATATAAACTTAGATGGGTTTGTTTTTTTAAAAACATCCATCATTGGGAATAGATTTAGTGTGACACAAGTTTTTCACGGAACAGATCCATGCCAAATGGTGTGTGCAAGCAAACCTCTTAGGGATGCCTGCAAGCCAAGATCAGTTAGGGAAATCCCAAGAGCTGGGAAGTATTTCCTGCTAAAGGGAACAGTAGTATTAAAGTTGGATGACATTTCATATCAGAGTATGAGGAGAGATCACCACTGGGATGCCTCAAGCAACCCTCACAGATGTGATTCACCCTGTAAGAGACATAGAGCAAGAAATGTAAATAACTTTTTCTCTTTCCTCCAGAAAACAATACAATTGCTCAGTCCTCCACAAAAATCCATTTTATATATAAGAAAGGCCTACTACTTATTTTGAGGAAGTCTTCCTTTACTTAAGTTTTGTACTTTTTATGAGAATTAAATCTCAATTATTTTTTATTATCATCCATTTCAGCTTAGCTGCCTCTAAGCACCAGAGGTCATTTGAGGTATGAATATAGGCTTTTTTTTTGTGGTCTATGAAAAATATTAAATTAGTGTCCTAATAGTCCATGTATTGATTTGCCTTTTTGGTGATCCCATAAGGCAAACAATGCAAGGAACAACAACAAGAATAAATACTGACAAAGCATGTTACACAAGTCTCCCTCTGTAGAAATAAACCCACGTGTTTCCAATACTCCTTCTCAACCGGCTTCACCAGTAACGTATTCAGTGTTAGCCTTGGTGAGAAATGTTTCAGTAAAAAAAGACTTCAGAAATTGGGAGACCAGATGTAGAAACAGAGACTATAGTTAGAGCTGGTTCAGTATTTCCTCTCCATTAAGTACCAATCCTTCTTATAATGGGAGATGTTTCTAAGTGATTACCTCAACATGTCTTCTTTCCCAGGGTAATTGGCCCAGACTCTCTAAACTCATATTCTCTTGATTTTAAATGAATATGGGCAGCCTTCTGTGTTTGCTTTGCACTCTACCCATTCCAAGACAGTAGCCTTTTCACCATGTAGATGTGAAGAAAAAATTTGAGAGGTGTTTGCTTTTTTGTTTAAAGAAGTTTTCTACTCATTTCTTGGTCTTCAGAATTAATGTCTGATAACAGGTTTAATAAAACATAGCGAAAAATCTAACCACTTACTTTCATGCATGGAAAAAGTATGGTGAAGAAAGTCCCTCTGATGACTGAAGTATGATCTTCCACACCTGAATCCATGTCCCTGTCCCTAATTAAAATAAGGTTTTCCTGGTGTTTTATCACAACACTGCTTCAAAAGACTTCCTAAGCGTTTTTCTCACTGGTATGCCATTCCTTGTTTGCCACCTGTTTGGGATTTTTTTCCAGTAAAGAAGTTCTTTACAATTGTTCTGGATCAAGGGTTTTGGTTTTTTTTTTTTTTTTTTTTTTTTTTTAAGACTTTTGAAACTTGATTTCCTTAATCAATTTAAGATTCACAGCTGTATGCATGTCTTGAGTTTTGGTTCCTCCAAGGAAATCTGACATTTTATAACCAGATATCTTATATGCCTGTACATTTTCTAGCTTCTCTGTAACTGCCTCTGGGGAAACAATCCCAGATTTAGTAGATCTCCATCTGCCTCCCCTGTGAAAACAAAGCAACTACTTAGCCACCCTGCTACTTGCTAACTAAACTATATTTTTTAAGTAGGGCGGTGATTTATTTTGTTGCTCTTTTTTACCGTGCATCTATATTTGATGGAGTCCTTGTTACTTGAGATGCTTTTTGCAATTTGCTATTAACTCTTTACTGCTCTTTTTTATTTTTCTCCACAGATTTCCAATTTTCTGGTGTTATTAAAGTGTGTTTAAATGTTCCACTTGTCTTCTTAGCTGCTCAGAGATACCCCTTTTTTAACTCGTGTCTGTTAGCTGTAGCTGATGAATTTAGCTTGGGGATGGTGCCTGCAAATTACCTGCATTAGTCAAAATTATTTGATAAATTGTTTATACTTTATTCTCTGAATTATCTGCCAACCCTTCAAAATTACATAACTATGCTGTTTGTATGTGTGACAGGTCAGTTAATTCCCAGGATATCATTTTTATTTCCTGATTGCATGTTGAGTAAAATTATGTGGATTTAGATTGTAAGCTGTTTGGCACAAGGAATTCTCTTTATTATCTATCTATGTTGTGCTCAGAAAACCACGTCTATGAGCTATGATTAGGATTGTGTGTGCATATTCAATATATTAAATAACAAACAGAATAACCGGATAGTCATATGAATGCTTCTTCACAAATCTGTTTTCATTTATATTCTCCCAATACTTTACAAAATCACTTGTGAACAAATGTTTGTGTTTTATACTAAGTAAAAACAATATTAAAAGTTACAGATAGCAATAAATATTTTGTTTTAATGAAATATTTGCATCTGTACTTCATTACCTTCCCCGCCATGTTAAATGTTTTTGTCTTTTTGCAGAATGTTCTTCCTTTTTGAAACTGAAGCAGAAAAAAGTGACCTAAAGAAAAACATATGACATCTTTGCAAGCACTTGTAAAGCAGCTAAACCCTTCCTTTCAGTCACAATCTGTTCTAAGAATGAGAGCTCACTGGTACATATTGAGACTATTCAATGTTATCCTGTCCCCTGAGAATATCAGCTTCACAGATAACACGGCGGCCTATTCTTCTGCATAACTGATTTATTCTGAGTGCTGGAAACACAGCATTTGTAATTTAGAGGATAAAAAAATTCCAACAACAGACAGAGAAAATCTTTGCAAAAGAGTCAGATTTTTTAAATTCTAATTCAGTTCAAGGAATAAGATAATTCTTACACAGGGAAGAACAGTTGGATAAAGAAAG